GGACCCCATGACCAGCTCTCCCGCCTCTCTGGCCTTCTTCCTATGAACGGCGAGAATGGCGCCTCCGCTGGGTTCCTGATGTAGAACTACTCGCCATGCCACTCCCGATTGGAGTCATAGGAGGAGTACGCGGGGTAGGAGCCCGACGGCCTCAGCTTCTTCTACAAGGCGAAGCCCCCAACCGGCACGGTTCTAGGTGGCTTCCCCTTTGACAAGGCTCGCCTGATGAAGATCCACTAGAAGAGGTCCATGTGTGGCTCCATCCCAAGGAAGGCCTCGCAGACGGTGATGAAACCGGCAACGTGCAGCACCCTAGTCAGATTGAGATGCTGCAACTCTAGGCCCCACTCGTTGAGGAGCCCGTGCAAGAACCAGTACGCGGGATATCCAATCCCACGCTCATGGAAGTCGATCAAGGAGACAACCTCGTTAGCCCGTGGTCGCGGAACAGCTTCCCCTAGCGTAGGAGCCCTCCAATGCACTACCTCCTTCGACAGGAGCAGCCCCTTCTCGACGAAGGCGGCCAGCACCGCCTTGTCTACGTTGGATGGCCTTCAGTTTGACATCGCACTCTGGATTCATGAATGAATCTATGAGTTCTCCTCTCCCTCGCTTTACCCTCTCTCTCCTAGAAACCGCCGTGATGTACGAACAGGCTTGGCGAGAAGGAAGAAGGAGGAGAGGCGACATGTGGAGAAAGGCGAAGGAATGGGACGAAAACCCTCTCCCTTCCCCTATTTAATGCGGATAGACATGTGGTGGGACGCATCCTGACTGATGGGACGCACCCTGCCCAACAAAATGTCGCCCAGTTAAAATAGGACGTGGCTTGGGTTGGGCCCACCACTACCACAACCCAGGCATAGGAAACAAGGCGCAACCGCATGTAAATAACCCTCCGCCTTCCTAGACAGGGTTTGGAAGGGCCCACCAATAGGATATCCATTTAGCAAAGACCAACGGGCTACCTGAGTCGATCAGACGACTTAGGCGACTGCCGAGAGATAGGTAAGGGGCAGTGGGATGCCCCATGCGGGCTACGCCGACTCTGTCATGAATGACGGACACGAATCCCATTTGAACATATCCGATAAGAGCTCCTCAAACCCGCCACTCGAGTCATCAAGGTATCTTTACCAAACCTTCATACTTTATTTTATCTTCTAATGCATAGTCATTCATTCATCCTTCCTCATACACGCATTCACACATTCATCCATACAATCATTCATTCATCCCATACATCCAAAGCATTGCATATGCAATTGATGCATCACAACACTTCGTGTTGCGTCATGAAGTGGTAGTCGCCTCATTCGACATGAGCGACGACCGATCGGGGTTCGAAGGTCGGCCCATGAAGGGCTCGAGGCCGCCTCGTGTCAAATAGAGCCAGGGGAGAAAACACAGATGAGCCCTAGCGGCCCTCGCTCGATCTGCTCAGAAGCAGACAGGGTCATCTTGACCTTCTCATTCGATCCTAAACCTCGAGCCATGCCCATAGAATCTCCATCAAGGGGAGGCCAGCGGGCCACCTGAGTCGATCTCAGGAATGGCTTAGGCATCTGCCAGGGGGCGGGTTAAGGAGCAGTGGAATGCCACATGAGGGCTATGCCGACCCCATTATGAATGACGGACCCGGATTCCACTCGGACATACCCGTTAGAGAGCTCACTGAGCGCGTCACTCGAGCCATCGAGGCAAGCGACGTTAGCTCAGCCCCTCCGGTTGCGGAAATCATGGATGGGGTAAGGCATGAAACTAGACCAACCCCTCGGCCACGCCCAGCACTTGGGTCCGCGCTCCGTCGCGCCCGACCCCACGGTCGCGCCCGATGTATGGGTTGGCGCCCAACACCTAGGTCCACGCCCCCAGAAACAATGGCTCAGAACATTGGCAAGTCAAAAAATCCCCCAGGCGATTCTACCTAAATCGCCCTGGGGCTCGGGGGCTACACCCATTGAGTGCGCTCGCACACACCCACTGGCAAGTCAAAAAAAATCCCTCAGGTGATTTCTAGGACCACCAAGGCCACATCCCTTGCTGGGCTCCGCCTAGTCCAACCCCCTAGGGCTGGCACCGCTTCGGCTGACCCCCGAGGGTAGGCTCTGCCTCGGCCGATGTTTGGGGGCTGGCTCCGCCTCACCCAATGTTTGAGGGCTGGCCCCGCTTTGCCCAATCCCTCAGACATGGTCCCTAACAAAAGCTCACGCCGCCGCCAAACACTACGGGCCAGAAAGTACAACCCCAGGTCAAACTTCTAACATCATATAGGGAGCAGTCGTGTCTCAGCACGACCCGTTTCTAGGACATGATGTTCCAGGGGACTCACATCGACCCACAGAGATGGACGCATGGTCACTATGCTGCCTACACCCGGTACGGCCGCTGATCAGCATGCTGGTTCATCGGTCCAATGCCTAGGTCCATGCTCCATCGCGCCCAACACCTCGGCCGCGCTCGACACATGGGTCCGTGCTCCATCGCGCCCAACGGTGACTCATGATCTTACACCCATCCGTTGCACTCATACAAATGAGTATAAATAGCCCCTTCATGACTTCACAGAAGTCCCAAACAGGCTCGGGGGCTCCTGTCGTGTTCATAAACCTAGGGTCTCTGATGGGCCCGTTTCCCAGCAAAAACTCGGCCCAGCAGACGGCATTACAACGACGCGTGACTCCTGGGCCGGCCCAGATACCTAACGACAAGCCAGAAGAGCGATCCAGTCTCCAACCGAAAGGCCTGGCCAAGGAGGGGACGACACTAGCTTTCGACTCCGACCCGCTTTTTCTAACCGGAAGGCCTAGCCAAGGTGGAGACAACGCTCGCTTTCGACTCCAACCCGCTTTTTCGACCGGGAATACACCAAACCTCTGCTTACGGCTCTTCTCCGATCGGCGCGGTCAGAGCCGACTGGGAATGATCGACCGAGGACGCCCGTTCGGTAAGGACCCAAGAGTCAGGCGGAGCAGATAAGGCAAGGCGCTCAAGTCAACCGCAGTACCGAGGACCGTACCCTACACACTTGTAGGACAGTAGCGCTAGGCCATGCCAGAAGGGTGCTTTGCAACCTTTCTAACATCTCAGAACACGAACAGTGTTGTAGGCGCCGACATTTGCCATACCAGAAAAACACGATGGAGCCTACCGCATGTATCTGGGCATCAACAGTATTGTGGACGCCGATAAACTATCTTATACCCGACGGTGTGAGCAACAAGACTAGAAAACACACACACACACACACACACACACACTCTCTCCCCTAACTTGTAAGGCCATCCCCTTCATCTATAAAAGGGGATGCGCTCTCTCCTAAAAGGAGGGTCATTTTTCTGACTCTTTCTCCGCTTAGCTTAGACATTCTAAGCGCTCGAACAGCTCCATAGCTTTAGAACTCTAAAGCTACATAGAGTGTACGTTCTAATACTTAGTGCACGTTGAAGCTCCCATCACTCTTGGCCCTTCGGTTCGGAGCCTGACTGGACCTTTAACACCCCCTTCTCATTCCCACTAGTTTGTAACCCCACTGCAAACTTCGAGCACCTAGGCTTAGGAATAAAGTCACCGATTGACTGAAACTGGATGTAGGGTACGTTGCCTGAACCAGTATAATCCCTGTGTCATTGAGTGCTAGGCCACATCCGATCACAACGTATGGCAAAACTACAAATATTTACTCGTTGGTCACTTTTCGCACCGACAAGTAGTATCTCCAAAAATATTTCTTAAACTCACTCTCTAAATGCTCATTTGGAGAATCATTTGAATAAGAATCGTTCTCAATATCTTCCCATATTTCAACAGTTTTTCTATCTTATGTGCACTTTGGAGAGCCATCTGTGCTCTCCACATTTGGCTGACGAGAAACAAGTAATAGAAGATAGCAATATTTGGAGATCTAAGAACTAAAAATATTTGTTGGAGTGCTTTTTTCCTTAAAATATTTATTCCTATCAATAAGGTAGTGTCGGGTATTGGTATTAGGGATACCCAAAGCAAGGAAGTTAAGCACCCACGTAGACTTCCCCGGATGGATCAAGATGTATTCACCACAAGGGCAAAGGGTTTTTGTGGCGAAAATTTTCATCACAAAAGCTTATTTTTTCGCCACAAACAAGCCTTTGTGGTGAATTTTTAAATCGCCACTAGTCGCCACAAATACTCGCCTCACAGATACTCTAGTGATGAATTTTTGTTCCCCGCAAATGACCATACTCATTAGTGACAAATTGTACTGTCACTAGTAACGGGACCATTTGTGGCTCATTCGTTGTCACAAAAACATATGCATTAGTGGCAAAAAATGATGCCACTCATAATGTTTTTAGTGGTGATAATAGTTGCCACAACTATACAGAATCTATGGCAATATAATTGTCACAATTACCATTGTAAAAGTGACAAATTTTGTGGTCACTAAAGACTACATATTAGTGATAGAAGTTTCGCCATTACTTGAGTTTGTCGTGTCGATGCTTGTTCTCACTATTAAATTATAATTGTGTCTAATTGTTTACCACAATATGTATGGGAAAAAGTGGTAACTTGTTAACACAAATACTTTTCATTTGTGATGCAAACTAATCCTCACATGTAAACTACGGTGGCAAACCTTTGTCACAAAAAATTATCTTTTTGTGAGAACTGACAAGACAAAATGTATCAATAGTTTCATCACAAAAAAGCATAGCATTTGTAGGAAAATTTTAGTCTGGACAAGTTTTGTCACAAGATAAGTTTCAATTGTGTGAAACACATTAGATGTTGTGGCGACAAAGTTATCATTATTATCCTTGTTGTAGTGACAAAAATAGCTCAACAAATGTACATTATAGCAATATGATTATTTCAAATCTGCACCAATAATATTTATTTCAATAATTCAAATTTGGCATTAAGCATTACATAAAACTAAGAACACTCAAACCTCAAAATAACTCTCTTGACACTACTTTAAAGTCTCACAATAATTATTCAACTAAAGTGTTTAAACTCTAAGATGCTGGAGGCTGTGAGGCACCAATGCGTGCAATTAATGCAGCCATTTGATGATCAAGTTGTTCCCTCACTAGGCGAGCAACTTCTCCACTCTGTGCTTGACGCAAAGAACTCATCTCATCACGTTGGGATTGTTGCTCTTCTTGCAGTTGTGCATTTGTTTCGACCACCGTGGAAACTTGGCCTTCCAAAGCTTGTGCTCGTTGCTCAGCAGCCTCAGCACGTTGCTCAGCAGCATCTGCACGTGCTCGAGCTGCAGCTTCACGCTGTTCTGAAGCCTCAATTTGCACCTGCAATCTGATTCTTTCCTCAGCCACTCGGTTTACAGCACGAATGCCAACACCACGTGAATGGTTTGGCTTTCGACCAAGAACTAGTGCGAAGTGCTCCACTATTGGCACGGGCGCAGAAGAAATCTTTTCTTGATGTATCCCAGCAGCTTCATGTAGTTTGGTCTGCAAAGCATGAAAAACAAACTAATTAAGAACCCATATACTACATAGCAGGCAAAAGCGTTCATGTAAGTAAATTAGACATTATTGTCTACAACATCCTCTAGAATAGTCTGAAGCACCGGATCAAATCTCGGTATGATGAAAACTATGCAAGATGATAAGGGTATGATTGGTTTGTTGCATATATGCCAGCTAGGCTCACGGGATTCAAGTTAGATGATTAGTTGGTTGTATGGCTCCACGGGCCTAGTTCTGTTCATGCAAAAACTCTCTTAGCCTAGCTCTCGAGATACAGGGATTTTAGGTGTTTCTTCAGAGCCTGGCTCGCCAGATGCGAACAGTTACTAGGTAAGGACATTATTAGCATATTTTAAGTGATATTAATGTACTTCAAACAATATTAAGCATGAGTAAGATAAATTAAGAGCAATAAAAAATGGTTGCATATAACAAATACTACCGTGATTGTGTTTACTTGCCTAATTTCTCGTGCAAGCAAACAAACATCATCTCAGCTCGACCCTCTACTGGATGCAAGCAACGAAACATGGTAGTGTTGTATTTACCCAAGCTATCCCCCGAGGGGCCTGCTCCTAGATACGAACACAACCAATCACACTCTAAGCGGCCAAAGAACACTAGCGTAGGATAGTGTAACATCCAAATGTTCTCAGAGTTGATACTGTTCAAAAAAATCTACAAACATGTTATCTAATAATTGAAAATTGTAGACAAATTAAATAATATATGAAATTTACAAACAGCTTAATAAAACGATATTGTTCATGATTAGAGATACTGCAAACTTTTCGTAGTGCCTAGACTTTTCAACTCATTAAATGAACAATACAGAGACTACATTGCAGAGATAATAACCATGAAAGAGTCATACATAATTCTACTACCATACTTTTTCATACAAAAAACACACCACTTCCACCTAATCCTAGTTCAAAAGGTAGGATACAGATTGACAAATGTGAAACCCAAAGATGCCATCAAGAAGGGAAGTAATATGGTCATACCATTATTTCTTCACCTGTTGGAATGGACCATGTCCCATCAGCCTTTTGATATGTAGCCTTCCAAACTTGCATAGCAGTAGGCCATTCACCAGTTTCTGGGTGTCGCTGCATTAGAATAACAAAAGCATATATTCACTAATACAGAACGATGTGTAATAGAAAAAAATCTGCCTAGTAACTATTTTGCTCACCAGATCATAAGCGATTTGAGCAATTGATCTAGTTCCTACTTTGGACCCCATCTCTTGCTTTCCTCTGTTGATAGAGTTTTGGTTGCTCCTTTTCTGGTTTACAAATTGCATAAATGTATCATTAACAATTATGCAACACTGTAATTTAGGACATGAGTTGTATGTACCTGAAAATCATCATCCGTCCACAAATTCCTTATCAACCATTGCCAACCTTCTGGTGAGACATGTTGTGGCCTTGGCTTGTTGTTTCGGTAAGCTTGAAGTAGACGGTAACGCCGATTATTATATTGACTCTCTACTTGTCTCATGGCACAATCTTTATCTTCTTCTGAAAGCTCAGGAAACTTTTGCTGTACAGCAAAGATATATTGTAATAACCAGCCACTGAATGCAATGATAACCTATGCATGCCAAATATATTCATTTCATATGAAAAGTAGGTCACCTTTAGTTTTCTCCAAATAGATGTAGTAGTACCAGGATAAAACTTATCCATGTCCCTCCACTTCTTCACTTGGAGTGGTACAGTTCTTACAAGAACTGTTATCTCACTTTAAATAAACTAGCATGTTCTCCACACACTTTTGCAAACTCTTTAGGGAACTTTATATCAATATGCTTTCCTTTTGCTCTTCTCTTGCGAAGTTGATTGTTAATTGTAAGTTTTCTTCCACTCTTAGCAAGGCCTAGTTAATTTAGGGAAAAGAACAAGGGTAATTAAATGTAATGTTTGTACTCTATAGTGTCAAGAATCAAATTTTAGATTAGTATAACATGTTGTGACATGCTAAATGTAGCACTTGTTATTATGTCGTATAAAGAAATAAATGTAGATCAACATAACAGTACCTAGCTAAATCAGCGAAATAAACAATGGTGTAAAGAAGCAGGTTTCAGATTAGCAAAACACCTTCAGTGTTGTGTGTTGCAGCATTTATTTGATTATTTTCATCCATTGCCACATCTGAATCAAATTGATCACGTTCATTGTCAGTTCGAGAGCCACGTGAACGTAATCTGGTTGTTATTTCACCTGTAGAAACAAAAATAGGCATTTTGTAAATTTTACATAACTAAATACAACAGAAATGGCTATCTTTTATTGTACCATCAGCACACGAAGTAATGCAAGTGAACACAGTTGCAAGTAATATAACTAGGATTTTTGACATCGGCATGAACACAAACCCCATGTGTTTGTTCATAGTAGCTCTCGTTCAGATCTATGAACAAGTAATGGTGCATTCAATTAAACAAGAAGTCAAGAACTTGCATGTTCTCATGGAGATTATTAATGGAATTGCTATCAGTACTAATAAGTCGAGTTGCTGATAACTAGAAGAATAATCATATGAACTTAACAAAAGATCATGTAAGTTTTCTTATACACTAGAAGCAATATAGAAACATTATATTACAAACGAGGCTGCAGAAAATTGTAGCTTTCCTAATTTCCTTTGATGCAACATGCTACAATACATCAGAATTTTTACGCAAAGAAATATTTGGTGGTGCTGAATGTATAAAACAAACCTATACCAGAGGTCAATTGGTCCCTTGGATCTTTGGATAAAGCAGAGGCAAGCTCATCAAATTCCGTATCCATTTCAGCAACTGTTCGTTGAGGCACCCATGGCGGCACCCGTGGAGCCATTTTCCCTGCAAAACAACAATGGAATTGATGGAGAAACATAGCCATCAAATTAATGGATATTTTACCAAAAGAAACAATCTGACGAAAAAAATAATTTGAGACATATACAAAGGATGGAAACAATCTGTCAAAAAATAATTTGAGAAATATAAAGTTGGACTGGGCTGGAGGCATGGGTGTCGTAGGTTGGTGTCCAGTACAAATATGGTATGGATGTGATGCATATTCATAGATCGAAATCAAGATAGCAGTATGGCAGTTGTGCAAGCCGCAGTGGCGGCGGCCGTGGCGGTGGCCGCCGCGGCGACGGTGGCCGTGGCCGTGGCGATGGCCGCGGGCATGGCGGCCGTGGTGGTGGTGGCGGCGGCGGCGGCCACGACGAACTGGATCGGAGGCCGGGATTTTCCGCATCGGCATCATGGATCCGTGGGGTATCGCATCTTCTTGCCGTGGCCGTGGCCGTGGCGATGGCGGCACTGGCCGTGGGCACGGCGGCCGTGGTGGCGGCGGCGGCCACGACGAACTGGATCGGAGGCCGCAACGACGGATCACGGTGGTGGATTTTCCGCATCGGCATCATGGATCCGTGGGGTGGCCGGAGGCATCTGGGCGTGCGCGATACATGGCCTTGGCTTTGACACAGGATAGGAGTAATCATTGGGGGCTAATAATGACGATGCTGGCCGGATGGAGGAAGACTTGGCAAAAAAAAAACTAGTAGTAGTACGCAGTGCACCTTTGTGGGTCGCCTGTTTCTCCCTGTTTCTCCCCGTCAGTTGGCTTTGATTGTTTGGTAGATCCGTAGATGATGGAAATGACTCCATGTATGTATATATATACTTGATGTCCAATGCAATATGGCGGGAGTAAAAAAAAAAATTCACGGATTAATTGGAGGGAAAGGTGAATGGATATTTGGAGGGAACAATTTTTCACCAATTATAATTATTAAGCGGAAAAGAGTGCGCTCGGTTTGAAAAAAACGATAAACAAGGCCAATAATATTTCTACTAGAGATATAATGTGAAAAAATATAAACAAGGTCCATAATATTTCTACTAGAAATTATAATTTTTAATACCAAATTTATTTTAATGTGTGTTTATTGGAAAAAAATATTGTTATTTTTTAGATAGAATAAAATTCGACTTCAAATCTCTTCGAATAAGACGCATCACTTGACAATTAAACAAGGTCCATATAACTAAATTTCAACAAATAAAAAGACATATGTGGCTAGAAATTATACATAGGGGTCAGTCAAAGATATTCAATATGGGTGTGTTCGGTTAGCCAATTAAGCCTGGTTAGCTCAAGCCTGGCTTCAACAATACAAGATGAACTTGTTTGGTTGCATGACCTAGCTTAGTCAGTATAAGAAATGTTACGTTTTTGTTGGTTGCTTTATCTTGTAGCAGGAGGTGAGGCGAGCGGATAAAAGGGCTAGCTCGGGCCTAGCTTCACAAAAACGGCCGCCCACCTCGCTCCTGGCTGGCCTGACTAACAGGTGGTCGGTGGCTTCAAGAAGCCTGTCTAATTGAGACTCATCTGTTTAGGTTCTTATGGTGGAACCTGACGAGCCGTGTTAGTCACGATGTAGTTGCTCCTATTTTTCTGAATTTATTCCAGTGTGGTGATTAATTTGGACGAGTGTGCGTGTATGCGTATATAACAAATGTCATTAAACAAGTTAGGATTAAAGTATGAATATATAACAAATAAAGTGTTAAACTAATAATTAAATATATAAAAATCATAAACAAATGATTATTTAGATCATAGATTAAATATTTATAAAAAATAATATAGAATATCATAGTTTTCTACTCACAATATCATGCCAAATATCAACATTCGAACCATATTAGTTTTGTTTTGGCAAACATTTTGTTTGCAAATAACTAACTCATATTTCGATGACTAATAAAGCAAATTTTGGTGCTTTATTAATTATTAAATCTTTGTAAAATACAAAATCAAGTCCTTAACAAGTAACCAGGCTGCCTGCCATATTCATCGGCATTAATGTTCACCACAAAAATAGAAAGAAAAAGAAAATAGAGCGAAAACCTCCTACATTTTTGGACCCAGATCTGGTAGCCCACGAATATGAACTCAATACTCAATGGCTACCGCTTAAACCCTAAACAGCCCCCAAATTGCTATGGCCGCCGCCCATTGATCCATTTGCTTCTTGTCACCGATCCACTGGTGCAGAGCTGAGATGCTGATGTCCAACATCTCTGCCGTCAGGTAATACTTTTGATCAAAATACAAGTTGTCCGCACTATCATTCCTATTTCCATCTGAAGCCTCTCCCCTTTCAAGACCGTACAACGTGGTTCCAAGTTCCCTGATATACAGTCTTCATAATGCTGGAAACTATGCCTTGCCTCCTTCTCAACTTCTCTTACATAACTAGAATCTGAAATCTCACTAGCAAATATACTCTGGGAAGAATTAGGCTCCTAGCTCCTGAACAAAAATGAAGACATGTCCCTTTCTGATGGAACACTTGATGAAGAAATGAGACCTGATATACTGTTGACAGGTACAGCATATTCTGTCCAGTCAATGTATGGAATCCCATTTGAGGAATCAAAATCACCGTCTACTCCATCTTGTTCTTTCACAGGGTGAGGAACTGGCTCAGGCAGAGCAATTTCACTTGCAAACTGCGTTATCCTGTCAAGCCTCTCCTGTGCAATAATGCTGTTCATAGAATAGACACACCACCATATCCTTAGAACTGAATTGATGAAATCTTGGATCCAAATATATAAATAAATGTTAGATCTGAAAACGAACCTGTTTAGCATCCCAGTGTAGCTCAAAAAAAGGTACCTTTGTAAGTAGACAGTAACAACGTGGTGCAGAAACCAAGAAACGACTTGGCTTATAGGAAGTAGGGTTTAAGGGTAAAACTGCACCTAGTATACCAGGTGCCTTTTGAACTATTTCCTGAACATGCAAACAAACACCATATAATGGCGCATTGTCTGATACCTGGTTCATAAACAACAATATTAAAAACATCAAACAAGAGATGTAATAAGACTCACAAACCTGTAGGTAGGAAAATGCAATATCAAAATAATCTAGATACTAACATCCAGGAATTATAAAATGGAAGATTCTTCTTAATGCAATGATACTGCGTATTCAAGAAAAAAATGGAAGATTCTTCTTAATGCAATAACTTGACAAACTGTAGTTTTGTAAACAATTCATTCCTCAATGATAGGATGGTTGTGGACAAAAGTTGGATGGACATATCCAATAGGAGGCTTCCCCGATACGAAGAAGGAGCTAAAAAATTTATTGAGTTTGCTTTTTCTGGCTGCAGTGCGGACAAGCTCCTTCGATGTCCTTGTAGAATCTGCAAAAACAATTACTTTGCTGATCAGATATCTATAATGGAGCATCTCATGCTGAATGGAATATGGAAAGAGTATAGAGTATGGGATCATCATGGAGAGAGTGTGTCGATTCGTAGAGAGGCGATGGCGACAACATGGAAGATCATGATGACTATGGTCTGCGTGAGATGGTGAATGATTTTGGAAATGCTGTGAATAACAACTTGGGATCATTTGATGGTTCATCACCTTGCTTGTAGGATGACACGACCACATCTACAGGTCCCACTTGAAGAAGCTAGCAAATTTTATAGACTTCTTGAAGAGGCAGACAATGAGCTGTACCTGAATGCAGTACCTTCTCTACACTATCGTTCATTGTGCAAATGATGAACATCAAGTGCCTATATGATTTGAGTGGAAATGCAATGGATGCTCTATTTACTCTGTTTTGGAAGGTACTTCCTACCAAGAATAAGGCTCCAAAGTCTTTCAACGATGCTAAGAAAGTCATGTCGATTTGGGATTGGATTACAAGCGTATAGACGCGCATGCCCAAATGATTGCATTCTGACAGAGGTGATTATGCTAAAGCTGAGTCATGTCCAGTGTGCAAGCTTTCTAGGTGGAAAAGTGATGACCGAACAATGCATCCAAATCACGAAGGCGAAGAGTTCGAAAGGTTGCATGTAGGTGCTGCGCTATTTCCCATTGATACCAAGATTGAAAAGGATGTATATGTGTTCCAAAACTGCAACTAATATGCGTTGGCACAAAGAGGAGCTAGTTGATGATGGATATTTGAGACACCCGCAGATTCAAAGGAATGGAAGGATTTTGACAAAAATTTCCCATCATTTGCATCGATCTTGTGTGATGTTAGGCTTGGGCTTGCTAGTGATGGATTCAATCCTTTTGGACATATGAGCACATCATACAGCATATGGCCCGTTGTTATTGTGATGTATAACCTACCTCCTTGGATGTGCATGAAAGATCCTTATATGATAACTTCAATGCTCATTCCTGGCCCTAAAGCACCTGGCAACGACATTGATGTATATCTACAGCCATTAATTGATGAGCTGATTGAGTTGTGGGGTGGGGTGGAGGCCTATGATGCTTCGATGAAGCGTAAATTCACACTAAAAGCTGCATTGCTCTGGACAATTAATGACTTCCCTGCTTTAGGGAATTTATCAGGAATGTCCACAAAGGGAAAATATGCATGTCCATCCTGTCATACCGACACTTGCTACCAATGGCTAGCCAATGGAAGAAAAGGTTGCTACATGGGACACAGGAGATTCCTACCACAAGACATAGTTGGAGGAACAATACTACTTCTTTTAATGGCCAAAGGAAAGGAGATGTGCTCCAAAACCATTATCAAGGCGCTGAAGTTCTTTCACAATACTGAAAAGTTTACTCGGTACACATACAAAAAGATTTAAGTCTATGCAGCTTTCTTTTTGTAAATAAATATGATATGAGTTATGATATTTTGATGTAATTTCAAAGGTGTAACATTGCTATCATTATGCTGCCATTCAGGTTATATTTGGGAAATCTGACAAGAAAATGAAACGTTCCAGCACAGTGTATGGTGTTTGGAAGAAAAAGAGTATATTTTTTCAACTC